TTTAAACATTATTTTCATAAAATGCATGTATCAAACACCAGAATATGTATTGTAGTAAAATATTAAGGAAAACAAATTGTTATTTTTCTTTAATATTTCAAATGTGAATACTGTACTATAGTATAAGTTCTCAGGACCTAAAATGAAGTATAAAATTACCCCCATTTTATAGGATACTCCCAATAATATTAACATTTTATAGGATTATCAATGATATAACTTATCATTTTTCATTCACCTTCACAAACTTTTAAAAATGTTTTAGAGATTTTTCCTTCAACCATTTTTAAAACTATTTTATGTATTTTTATTGTGTGTGTATGACCTTTTGTCTGCATGTATGTCTGTTGAGCACCTCTGTCCTTGGGTCCTTGGAGGTCAGAAGAGAGATCATCAAATTCCCTTGAACAAGAGTTATGTTAATGGCTGTTACCATCATGTGGGTGCCTGGAATCAATCCCAGGACACCCAGAAGTGCAGACAGTGTGTTAACTATATCTCCAGCCCTGTTTTTTCTTTTCAATAGGTATAACATACCCTTTGAAAAACACTGGTTTCTTAGGTGAATTATATGTTGTCAGAAATGGTATTATTACTAATGAAACTTATTTTATGTGGGTGATAGTGACTTGTCAAATCTATCCTTGTGGGAACCTTCACAAACTTTGTTTCAATTTCTTTGTTATTGTTCTGAATCATTATCTCTTATTCAGCTTAATTTTTAAAAATTTTCAGAGATGATATTCTGGTTGCTACATAAGACATGGAAGAGGAATCTATACATAACCAGTGCAGTACAAACCAGATGCAATCACATCTTCCGTTTATTTTTGTACATTTGTTTCATATTTTGTTTGGTCTGTTTATTTTTATAATTTTGTATACAAGTATTATATTTCCATCTCCTTCGTATTCCCTCTCCTCCTCTAAATCCTTGCTGACTTTCCTCACTCCATCTCAAACTCTTGACCTCTTTCAAAATTATTACTATTGCCTATCTGCATTTATACCCTCTAAGCACATTTAGTGTTACTTGTTCAAAACTGTACTTACGGCTAGTTATATGATAGTTTATCATGAGGTTCATTCTAGTATAAAAGTGACCCTTCCTCTTTTGGCAGCAATTGATTACACAAACTACTCATTTAGGAGTGGAACTTTGTGAAACTGCCACCATGCATGTTTGCATGTTACCTGGTGTTGTGATGCTAATCTTACTTAGATAACCAATTTGTTGAGATTTTGCAAGTGAGCAGTTTCCCTTTATGCCTAGATGATGCTATATTTTTTCAGGTATCTTGAACCTTTAACCCTTATAATATTTTTACCTCCTCTGTGATGTTAAATGAACTTAGGTATAGGGGTTGCTTTGTAGATGTACAAATTGAGAATGGACACCCTATGATTACTTGTTCTCTACATTCTTTTGTGATGTGTATCTCTTTAAGAATATCCATCTGCTGTAAAAAGAAACTTCTGATGTGGTAGGGGAGGTACGTTTATCTGTGGGTGTAAGGATGAATGTTTAGAATAAAATTAAAGGCCATAATAATAAGGAAAATTCCATTATAAAATTGTCCTCTAAGAACCAAGACTTCTTTGGAAGGAGTTAAGACTTTTGTACTCATATTTATTTTTGCATTCTTTGTATTTTCTGGATAATAATCATCTGTGTGATGTTAAGCTGGCAAACATTCTTTCCCACTATGTGTGTTTCTTCCTCTTTCAATGGATAATTTAGTCTGGTATCCAGGAAACTTTTCACTCCACGAATTCCAATTATCACTCATGTACCTTGATGTTTGAACAAATAGAATTCTATTAATACAATCCCTTTCCCACACCAATAAATTATAGGTCATTGCTTATGTTTCCTTCTAGCAGTTTTAGTATTTTAGTTTTTACATTGAGGTTTTTGATAGATGTAGAGTTGAATTTTGCAGGACAGTAGATATAATTCCATTCTTATGGGTACCAAATTTTCTGAGTACTATGGACTCATATTGCCACACCAAATTCAGTAGATTCTGTGTGACCAGTTGCACAGACTAAGGCAATAATTTCAAAAGAAGGAGGACTCCTGGAAACAGTTGTGGAACTCTCAGCCTGAGAAAAATATTGAGCCGTAGTTCTCAAGTCAATTTCTGTTCTTCTCTTTTTTTCTCATATTAACTAAATGTTCCTAAAAGCCTAGACTGACATCTTAAAAAAAAGATATAAATTGAGAACTGGCCCCTGAGACAAGGCCACTGACCATGACCTAGTCTCCAGGAAAACCAATGCTTTTTGAATCATTCATGCATTCACATAAGTAAATAGTAATAGTATTGATAAAAAATTTTCAACAATAAAATTTCATATGGCTGTACATGTGTGATCAAGATTAGTTTTAATGTTTGGCTAAAAAAAAGCTTTTTGTTTTGTTTTCGAGACACGGTTTTCTGTACTGTTTTGGAAGCTGTCTGACTACCTCTGCCTCCTGAGTACTGGGATTAAAGGCATGTGCAACCAACACCTGGCAAGAAAGCTTTGTAATAAGAAAAATCAAAATATCTCAGTATTTTAAAGACTCACAAAAACTAGGTAACAGATATCAAATAATTCTGAACTAGGTAATAGATGCTAAGCCATAACTGACCATAAAAATTTATTAACCTAATCTTAGAAACCAATGGTTAGCTGCAATCAGCCCTGAATGATTTTCTGAACTATTGTTGGATAAGTTGTGTGTTTGGGCCAATAATAATGATGTCATTTGGGTATTGCTTCACTGCACACACGCCTTGATATGATAATTGTTTTCATTATAAAAAGCCTTGCTTGAAAACTGCAAAATACACTCAGATTCAAACTGGCTCTGTGCTTATTTCTGTTTGTCACTGCCGAATTCTAACCCATCTTGTCTTCGAGAACCCTCATCCCAGGGACCCCCATACCCAGCTGGGTTGGTCCATGGCACCTTATATGATACTAATTATGTGGCATTGGAAGGATGGTTAAATGCTTTAAAACATTTCCTTGAACAAATATTGCATCGGTTAATTATTTAAAGTGTATTTATTATTTCCAAGAGTATTATATCAATGTATAGATCAGATTTATCATTCAGTTATTTATGTGGAAAGAGACTGAGATATCTCATTTTTTCTTATATTATTTTAGAGACACATGCTCAGAAAACCACAATTATAAGCTATTAAAATAAAAATCTATGATTAAAATAGCATTTAAGTTTACATCCTCAATCTGGAAGTCTATTATTCCAATACTGACCTCATTATTATGCATGAGCATCTTAGTTAACTTTCTGTTCTTATTCAAGCCTTAATAAACACATGAGTAAATAATAAATAAATGAAGTATAAAAGTTAGTTAAAATTATTGATTGTTTACTCTAGTTAAATTATGTTAGAATCAATAGAAACAAACAAACAATACTCGGTACAGTGATGAGGAAACTGTTTGTAACCAGTTTATGAACATATTTACTTTTTGAATTCTATGCATTTACACAATTTTTCCTCAATATATGTTTTTATTTAAATTAGAAACATGAATGCTTCACATGTCAATCCCAGCTCCCTCTCCTTTCCCTCTTCCCTTGACCCTCGACAAGCCCTCCCAGCCCCTCACTCAATGCCCCCGTCATTCCCCAGGGAGGGTGAGGCCCTCCTTGGGGGAATCTCCAGAGTCTGTAATTTCACCCAGGGCAGGACCTAGGCCCTTCCCCATGTGTCCAGGCTGAGAGAGAGCATCCCTCTATTTGGAATGGCCTCCCAAAGTTCATTCATATGCCATGGTAAACACTGATCTACTACTCAAGGCCCCAGAAATTTCTGTGGCCTCCTCACTGACACTATATTCATGGAGTCTGGATCAGTCCCATGTTGGCCTCTCAGCCATCAGTCTGGGATTCAAGAGCTCCCCCTTGTCTGGTCAGCTGTCTTTTTGGGTTTCACCAGCACAGTCTTGACCCCATTGCTCATCACTCCTCCATCTCTGTCACTGGGTTCCAGGAGTTCAGTTCAGTGTTTAGCTGTGCATATCTGTCTCTGCTACCATCATTCACTGGATGAAGGTTCTAGGATGGCATATAAGGCAGTCATCATCCTTACCATCAAGGAGGGGCTATTAATGTAGTCTCCCCACTATTGCTTAGTTTTCCATTTGGTGTCATCCTCGTAGATCTCTGGAGATCTCACTAGTGTCAGATGTCTCCTAAAGCCTATAATGACTCAATCTCTCATCCATCTCTCCTCTATTCTTATCTTGACTCAAACTTCCTACTACTCCATACCTGTTGGGCGCTGCCCTGGAACCACGCCATGGCGAGATGGCGCTGACATCCGCCTGACAGTTGCAATGACAACCCTGCTGCGCATGAGCAGGAGCTCCCTGCCCACGAGGCCGGGGGTGCCTGTGCCTTACGTCACCTCGGGTGACATAATTGGACCAGTAATTAACTGCCACGTCCGAGGCGAGAGAAACTCTCTATATAAGGAGAGTCCCGTTAGGGCGTGGGGTCTTCGCTTTGTGATAGCTTATGCTCCTCCTCTCAGGAGCAATAAAGCTTACTGCAGAAGGATCCTGATCGTGTGCCGCGTCATTCTTGCGGGCGAGATAGAGCGCGGGACAACTGGTGCCGAAACCCGGGAAACTGACCAAGCCATCGTCCGCACCATCGAAGACCCCTTGGAAACGAGGAGGATTCAGAACTGCAGGCAGGTAAGTTCGGAGAGGTATGCTGATCTGGGACTTTGGTCTGGGGTTGTCTCCGCCTTGGGAGGGTTTGCCTGAAGCAATCGTCCTCCTTGGTATTGTTCTTGTCTTCTTTATACTGGTCACCTAAGCCTCCTGTAGATTAAGGGGCCTGAACAGTCTCTTCTGTCCTTTGCTTTCGTTTTTCCCCATTTGCTGTAAGACGGACGTAGATAAGCCGCGGTCATCTGTACCATTGGTAACGGTGGTGATTAGTCAGACGTAGATAAGCTGCAGCCACCATGGGGTCCTCTCAATCCATATTAACTACCTTGGAGACTGTATTAAAGCAGAGGAATATCAAGGTTGACAGAAAGACGTTACGGAGCTTTGTCAAGGAGGTCGATCGTGTGGCACCCTGGTATGCCCTTTCTGGCTCTCTCACCCTGGCATCATGGAATAAGTTGGGGAGGGATCTTGATCGACACCTAGAGCAGCAAAGAGACCTAAGGATAGGGACCAAGGCAGTATGGAAACTAGTGAAGAACTGTATTGAGGATGAAGCTTGCCAGGCGGCCGTTGTAGAGGGTCAGGCCATTCTCGAGGTAACCCAGGATAGCATGTCAGAAACCGAACGTAGTGAGAGGTCAGGCGCGCACGAGAAAACGGAGGTATACAAAAGAAAAACTAAGAAAAAGAGCCCTCCTGTTTTAGGAGAGAACATTATAGCAAAACCAGATGCCCTTCCTGGCCTTTCCACTAAAGGGACAGGTCAAATGTATCCTTTTAAAGAACTGGAGGCACTGAACCTCGGCAGCTCCGCCAGTTCTGAGTCTTCTGATTCCGAACAAGACTCTCTAGGCCCTGGAGATGAGACAGAACTAGAAGAAGAGGCTACAAAGTACGAGGCGGAGAGATATCACCCGGATGGGGAGTTTTTCTCTAAACTGCTACCCAAGGGCAAGGCCTCAGCAAAAGCGATAGCAACTCCATCTGCTCCGCCTATGCCGCTCTCTCCCCCCCCTTATGAAGGGCATTTACATAGTTTCTCCTTTTTACCTGAAAAAATTAGAAGAAAGGTCCATCTCACCTTCCCCGTTTTCGAAGTAGAGAATGGAGGGCGGGTACATACTCCGGTTGAGTATAAACAGATAAAAGAATTGGCAGAATCGGTTCGTAATTATGGACCTAATGCCAACTTTACTATTATGCAGATAGAAAGGCTTGCCTTGGATCCCCTAACTCCTGCCGATTGGCAGATGGTGGTGAAGGCAGTATTACCAAATATGGGGCAATATATGGAATGGAGAGCATTATGGCATGAGGCTGCCCAGTCACAGGCGAGGGCTAACGCCATAGCACTCACCCCAGAGCAGAGAGAATGGAATTTCGATCTGCTTACAGGACAAGGAGTCTATGCTGTGAACCAAATTAATTACCCTTGGGGCGCATATGCTCAAATAGCCACCCTGGTAATTAGGGCATGGAAGTCACTTACGCAGAAAGAGAAGGCAGGTGGACAACTTACCAAGATTATACAACAACCTCAGGAGCCATTTTCCGATTTTGTGGCAAGGATGACGGAAGCGGCAGGAAGAATTTTTGGAGATACAGAGCAGGTTAAGCCGTTGATAGAACAGCTCATCTTCGAGCAGGCTACACAAGAATGTAAAACAGCAATTGCCCCTAGGAAAGGAAAAGGTTTGGATGATTGGCTCAGGGTATGCAGAGAACTCGGAGGACCGCTTACTAATGCAGGCTTGGCGGCTGCCATTCTTCAATCACAAAGAAAGCCGACGGGCTTCAAGGATCGGAGGCTCTGTTTTAATTGTGGAAAGCCAGGGCACCTAAAAAAAGAATGTCGAGCTCTAAAAAAGGGTCAGGATACTATCTGTGCCAGATGTGGGAAAGGCTACCATAAGGCAAGCCAATGCAGATCCATAAGAGACCTTAAGGGCAATCTCCTTCCCCCCCCGTAAACCAGGTACAGCTGACCAAGAGCCAAAAAACGGCCAGGTGGGCCCCCGATCCCGGGGCCCGCAAAGATACGGGACTCAGTTTGCCAAGGCCAGTTCCGAGGAGGAGACGACTCCACAAGAGACGTCAGGATGGACTTGCGTGCCGCCACCTCAGTCCTACTAATGCCACATATGGGGGTCCATCCAGTGCCTGCGGCACCTTTGCATCCCCCATTGACTGATGGTATGATAGGACTTATAATAGGCCGTGGTGCCCTTACTGCGCAGGGACTAATTGTACATCCTGGAATAATTGATAACCACCATATTCCAGATATTCAAATTCTTTGTTCCAGCCCCCAAGGTGTTTTCTCCATCCATAAGGGGGATAGGATAGCTCAGCTTGTATTGCTTCCAGCAAAAGATCAAATTTCACAAGATATAAAAGGTCCCATGGGATCCACAGGGACGGACTCGGCCTATTTAACTGTGGCACTAAATACAAGGCCTAAGTTAACTCTTAGAATTAATGGCAAAAGTTTTGAGGGCATTTTGGATACAGGGGCTGACAAAAGTATTATTTCAACACATTGGTGGCCAAAAAGTTGGGCGGTCACACAGTCCTCTCATTCTCTACAGGGGCTGGGATATCAATCCAGCCCTGACATCAGCTCTAGTGCCCTAACATGGGAATCCTCAGAAGGACTGAGAGGCCAATTTACCCCCTATGTCTTACCCTTATCAGTTAATTTATGGGGTAGAGACATCCTAACAGAAATGGGCCTTACCTTAACCAATAATTATTTGCCCTCAGTTAGGAACATGATGGAAAAGATGGGGTTTCAAGAAGGCCGGGGCTTGGGACATCTTGAGCAAGGCAATCCCCGCCCTATATCACCCCGACCTCATGAAGGTAAAACGGGCTTGGGTTTTTTCTTGAGCGCCACTGAGGCAGCACGACCCATACCATGGAAGACGGAGGACCCGGTATGGGTTCCTCAGTGGCCATTAACCTCCGAGAAACTGAATGCCATCATGAAAATAATTACAGAACAGCTTTGCCTTGGTCATATAGAACCATCCACTTCGCCTTGGAATACTCCGATTTTTGTTATCAAAAAGAAATCGGGAAAATCGCGCTTGTTGCATGACCTAAGGGCCATTAATGTACAAATGTTACTATTGGGTCCGGTCCAGCGAGGATTGCCTCTACTCACTGCCCTGCCAAAAGGGTGGCCCCTTCTGATCATAGATATTAAGGACTGTTTTTTCTCCATACCCTTACATCCCGTTGATCGCCCGCGTTTTGCCTTTACGGTACCTTCTTTAAATCATGCAGAACCAGATAAGAGATACCAATGGAAAGTTTTGCCTCAGGGAATGGCCAATAGTCCAACCATCTGTCAGCTCTTTGTTGATCAGGCACTTGCCCCAGTTAAAAGACAGTTCCCGCAGGTCCTGTCTATCCATTATATGGATGATGTGCTGTTATGTCATCAAGATCTTACAGTTTTACAGCAAATGTTCCCTGTCTTACAAAAGCAATTAAGTCAATGGGGACTTTCCCTAGCCACTGAAAAGGTACAAATAACCGACTCCGGATCATTCCTGGGCTCGGTTATCCGACCTGATTTCATTAGACCACAGAAGGTTGAAATTAGAAAAGATAAGTTACAAACTCTAAATGATTTTCAAAAGTTATTGGGTGATATTAATTGGCTAAGACCTTTTTTAAAAATTCCCACCATTGAATTAAAACCTCTATTTGATATTTTAGAAGAGGACCCGCATATCACCTCCCCAAGGAAATTGGATCCCTCGGCAAGCGAGGCTCTTTGCAAAGTCGAGAAAGCTATAACTCAGGCCCAGCTGGATAGGATAGATTATACCCAGCCAATTTTGTTATGTGTCTTGAACACACAAGGTCTACCCACTGCCGTTGTTTGGCAACAAGGGCCTTTATGCTGGGTCCATCCTCGAGCTTCCCCTGCTAAAATTGTTGATTGGTATCCAGCTGCTGTTGCACAATTGGTTATAAAAGGCATTAAAATGACAATAGAATACTTTGGTCTGGAGCCTAATATCATTGTTAGCCCCTATACTCCGGATCAAATACAGGTTTTGGCCGCCACCTCTAGCGACTGGTCAGTCCTATGTGCTTCATTTTCAGGGACCTTTGATAATCATTATCCCAGGCATCCACTTTTACAGTTTGCTTTGGCCCAGCCTTTAGTTTTCCCAAAAATTACCTCTAATACCCCAATTAAGAATGGGATAGTAGTATATACAGATGGTTCTAAAACAGGACAAGGGGCCTATGTTGTAAATGATATGACTTATATAAAACATTTTCCTGAATCTTCCCCACAAGTCGTTGAATGCCTCGTGGTATTAGAAGTTTTACAACAATTTATGGGCCCACTTAATATTGTTTCAGATTCATTATATGTAGTTAATGCAGTTAAAATTCTTGAAACTGCCGGGTTGATTAGACCTTCTAGTAAGGTGGCTCACATATTTGAAGCCATTAGAGCTGCTCTGCTGCAAAGGCGGCATCCTTTCTTTATTGAACACATAAGAGCTCATTCTGGTCTTCCCGGCCCCATGGCAAAAGGGAACGCGCTCGCTGATCAAGCCACTAGACTTGCAGCTGTTGCGCTTTCTTCACCCATAATAGCTGCAAAAGAATTTCATAATAAATTTCATGTTACTTCAGAGACATTACGCAGACGCTTTTCTTTAACCAGAAAAGAAGCTAGAGATATAGTGATACAATGTCAAAATTGCTGTCAGTTTTTGCCTGTCCCCCATCGAGGAATTAACCCGAGAGGTTTGATCCCCTTACAAGTTTGGCAAATGGATGTTACCCATTATGTCCCTTTTGGTAAATTGCAATATATACATGTTTCTGTTGATACTTGTTCTGGAATATTTTTTGCCACCCCACTTTCAGGGGAGAAGGCTTCTCATGTGATTCAGCACTGTCTTGAGGCCTGGAGTGCCTGGGGCAAACCCCGCTGTCTTAAAACCGACAACGGGCCTGCCTATACTTCACAAAAATTTAAACAATTTTGTGCACAAATGCAAGTTACTCATATTACTGGATTGCCCTATAATCCTCAAGGTCAGGGCATCATTGAGAGAGCACATCGGACACTTAAATCATATTTATTAAAGCAAAAAGGGGAGCAATAATGGAGCTACCCCTGGACCGAGAGTGGCCATAGCCATGTCACTCTTTACCCTGAATTTTTTGAACTTGGATGATTCAGGGATGAGTGCGGCTGAGCGACATTGCACAGAACCTAAAAGGCCCAAGGAATGGGTGAAATGGAAAGATGTGCTAACTAATCAATGGAAAGGCCCGGATCCTATCCTGATAAGGTCCAGGGGAGCTGTCTGTGTTTTTCCACAGGATGAAGACAATCCGTTCTGGGTTCCGGAAAGACTCATTCGTAAGATGGGGAACCCTGATGATAATGATCATGGCTCAAGCCTGGAGGGCAACGGGAGAAAGAAGATGGGGAATCATGTCGACCTTTCCCCTCCCCATGCCGGTGATGTATAATGCACAAGTGTTTCCTAGATTTTTTTTCACCAATAAAGAGCTAGGGCTAGCTTATTTGCCCCAAGATAATCAGATTCATGCAGTACAAGAAAATCGCTCCCTCTCCTTAAGAGGAAGCTTATGCTTTCATTTTTCCAAAGTAAATGATAATAAAAATAGTATTAACTGTGTTAATTTGAGGAATCAATCGGCTGCCTGGCAAGGCGAGGCTAGTTGGGGAACTGATTTAGAGATTGTAGCCAATGCATCCGATGTTAGGCGCTGCCGGTTAGTACTAATGCTACTCCCCATGATCAGCCAAAGTTAGCCCCATTTTGTAAAGGGATTCAATCAGAAGAGTATATCCTGCCTTGGACTGAATGTCAATCTAGGTATCAACACTGGGTAGGCCCTAATACCTTCACTTTCTCACCCAGCCTAGGGCATCATTTTTTGAATATGACACCCTTGACAACTTGGGTCAATCCCTTTGACGGATTTGACTCCTATGGTAATGATAGGAGGAGGAGCTGGGGAAAAAGGACAAATCTCTTACAATTGGAAGGGCAAATTTTCGGGGGATCTGGCTCCGGCACTTGGCAAGCTTCAGATATGAAGCATAAAGAATTTATTAGAAAAGAATATGCCCCATCACCAGTTTGTGTTTGGCCCCCTTTTTATGGATTGTAAGCAATAATTTTATAGGTGAGAATGAGGAATTAAGATGTGATACCAAGAGCTGCTTTTATACATTATGCTGGGATGCCACGAAATATTCTTATGCTGTGGTGACTAGAATGCCGAGGTTTGTGCCCGTGCCGGTGAAAGCCCCGAGTAGCTTGTCTCTGCTACGCACAAAAAGAGATTTCGGCATCTCGGCCATAATTGTAGCCATTGTGGCCACTACAGCAGTGGCTGCCTCTGTGACCGCCTCGGCAATGGCCCTATCCACATCTGTACAAACGGCAGATACTCTTGATGGTCTTTCATCATCAGTATCAGTGGCACTCGACTGACAAAGTTCGGCAAATACTCAAATTCAGGGAGGGTTGATGCTGGTTAATCAGCGCATCGACCTGGTTCAAGAACAATTGGATATTTTATGGCAATTGGCGCAGTTAGGATGTGAATATAAAATGCCTGGACTTTGTGTTACATCAATACAATATGAAAATTTTATTAGAGCGGCTAATTTGTCCAAAAGTCTTTCTCAGTTCATTTTACAGAATTGGACATTCGAATTTGAACAGATACTGCAGGACTTGAGAACAGCGATCCACCAGAATTGATGTCTCCCTACAAGAAGGACTGTCGTCATGGATCTCTTCTGTCTTCTCTTATTTCAAGGAATGGGTGGGGGTGGGACTCTTCGGGATGTTTCTCTGCTTCGGGATGTTTCTCTGCTTCGGAATGGCAATTTTATTCTTTTTGTTTTGCAAAGTGTTCAAAAAGGCAAAAACAGATAAAGTCATGA